AAAGTTAAAAAATAGTAAGAGTGGATATTGATCTGAAATGAACAGACATTTCTCAGGCAAAGAAGTAAAAGCAGCAAATAAACATATGAAAAAATTCAACATCACTGGTCATTCGAGAGATGCAGATGAAAACAACACTGAGATTCTACCTCACCCCAGAAAGAATGGCTGCTATGAAGAAATCAACCAATAACAAATGTTGGCGGGGGTGTGGGGAGAAAGGAACCTTTCTCCATTGTTAGTGGGAGAGTAGACGGGTACAACCACTGTGGAAATCAGTATGGAGATACCTCAAAGAACTAGGAGTAGAGGTCCCATTTGACCCAGCTGTTCCTCTGCTGGGTATCTTCCCAAAAGAATTAAAAGAATCATACCACAGCGATATATGTGCACTCATGTTTATAGAGGCACAGTTTGTAATAGCTAAAGCTTGGAAACAGCCCAAGTACCTATCAACTGGAGACTGGATAAAGAAGACATGGGTTTTTTGTTTTTTTTTTTTAATAAAATGGAGCACTACTCAGCCATAAAGAACAACAAACTAGGGACATTTATAGCTAAATGGATGCACCCTGAGGCCATACACTTAAGTGAAATGAATAGGACAAACATATAAATATCGAATAGTTTCTCTAGTGTGAGAAACTGAAAGTGTAAATAAAGATTAAAATGAATAATTGATAATGTGAAATAGGAAGAAAAGGTCCAAAGGGGTAGGAGAAAGGAAAGAAGGGAAAAGAAAAAGTATGAGAAAAAGAAAAATGGAAACAAAGTCTTTGTAAACAGGGAAGGGTGGGGGGTGAAGGGAGGGGAGGGCAGGGGAATGGGGAAAAAATAAGAACCAAGATACATCATGTAAAGGTGCAAATTCCCAATGATAAATGTAAATGTATCGTTTACCTAAAATGTACCAATAAAAGAATTAAGAAAAGCTTCTCTGCCACAGTTTACCCCTCTAGCATACAAGAGTCCTATCCTACTGGCTCATCCTACACAGAAGCCATGCTCACTTTCTTCACAGTGGAGACAAAGCAAAGTCTTTTCATTTACTGCACTCAGCTTAGAGTCCAGGGTGTCTAGGAGATATTCAAGCATCTCCGTCAGGTCATATGTGGCCTCAATGACCTCACTACTAAACAATGTGTTACCTGCTGCAAAATCCCCACCTGGAAAGGAAGATGAAGCACTTCACAGAGGCAAGTCAGTAGAAGTCATCACATTTTGCTGGGCAAGAATTTTCTTGGCCACTTTGACTTCCCTTTCCACTATGACTCATTTGCCCATTGTTCTTGGTGATTCTTCTATTTTGTGGCTGACCCTGTGGTGGGTGTTGGAAAGTGTAGACTCCTTGGGGGGTACTCCTTTTTTATAATCTGCTTTCTACTGGTGCAGGTTTGGGAACCTTTGATTTGGTTTAGTGAATGAGCAATCATTGGCTCTGCCAGCTTGATTTCTTTGGCAGTGTAATTTTCTAAAAAAATCCTATTTGCTTACAGTGTTTTCCACATGAAAATAACCTTTGGTTAGTTAGCATTCCTAGACCTGCAGATTCTACATTTTTTTGTTAATGGATTCAGTTCATAGTCCACTCTGAAATTTGTTGTTCTGTTTAAGAGCTTTTGGCCTGAGTTGATCTGATGCAATAGTCTTCAGTGGAAAAGCTGTGCCATCCCTCTCTCAATGTTTGTGGCTTTACTGGCCCCCTCTTGTGTAGTCTAGGGACCCTCTGCAGTACATTCTTGAAGTAGTCTCTAAGCAACAATCTGGTCTCCTGTTTGCAGAGGAGAGCAGATGGTTTTTCTAGCAGGGTTTCAACAGTGTTCCAGGCTGTACTCTCTGTGTCCTCACCACAAAGACCTGGTCTCCAAACCACTACCAGGTATTTCTGGCTTTGCTTTGACAGTATAACATTTCTAGGCTAGGTGGGCACTCTCCATTAGGATACAGGAGAAGCTGCTCTATCAAAGGGACTTAAGTGTTTTTAACAAGAGAGAAGGTTGTTTCTTTCTCAGTGGCCTCCAGATGGGCAGGTACATAGGGATGGGGCAGTGCTTTGGGTCTACAATATCCACTAGAGACCTGTTTTCTTCACTTTGTCACTGTGCTGGGACCCCAGGGAAGCTCCTGATGGTACCACTACAGGTGCCCCATTTTACATCTGCAGAAGGGAATGAGGGGGAAACAGAGTGGAGAAGAAACAATGTTCTTGTGAAAGCCTGAATTACAAGTTACACATACCTTTTGTAATTATAGCTCAGGGATCTGGTCAGTTCTTTGGCCACACAGCTAGGCACAGAGGAGGCAGCTAAGAAGAGGGAGGCATGGTCTGTACTAGGAAAGCCATGCGCCTAAATAAGAGTCAGGGACTCCTCCAACTAAAAGAGTGAAAAGTGACACTAGGAAATCAGATAGTCTCTATTACAACTCTACTGACTGATTATAAAATGAGATTAAAGCATGCCTGAAGTCCGCTGGGCCTTAAATAGTATGTCCTTCATAAGGAACCTATCCATCATGAAAACCGATAGGAAAGAAAAATGTCTTCTCAGTTCTACTACTTATTCAGCTCTCTCCCAGTGTTCTTACACATACTCTATGAATAGACTTAAGAAAAAACTATTATGGGAGAAGTGATCAACTATTTTAAGTCCAAATATCAATCATTTTTTGAGCTCTTTTCAGCCAACCACATTGTAATTCTACCACAGAAAGATTTCTGTGACTGAAAAAGTGTATTTATAACTTATTCCAAACAGCAAGGTTTAGAGAGTTTTCATCTTTTCTTAATGCTGACATTGTTGCCAGTCCCCAGTGGAGTAATTCAAACTTGGCTGTAGTATATTCACAAAAGTAGGCATGTTATACCATGAGTGAAGATGTGAAAATAATGAGCTCATGGACGACCTACCCAGTATGAATCTCTGTTTCCCCTGAAAACCCTGGACCTGTGGACAGAACTGCTTCCCAAGTTTATTCTGGAGAAAAAAGTTTACTTAAATTGAGAGGAGAAGGAAACACAGAAGAGTCACCACCCCAGGAAAAAGTGAATCAAGTTGGGAAATACAGTTTAAAAGATGTCCCTTTGTATTGTTTTCTGGTATTATAAGTTCATCTAGAAATTATAAGCAATTTCTGCTTTTTCCTGGTTTAATTCGGTTGTATCTGTAATGCTAAATTCATTTCTGAGGCTCTTTGTGTGTGTGCGCATGTGCGTGTGTGCGTGCGTGTGCGTGTGTGTGCGTGTGTGTGTGTGTGTTTGCCTCCTTCTCTGTGCACAGGCTGAAAAAGCAGTTACAATTCTATTGCTCTTCACCTTAAAATTCTTCATCTTAAAATGTTGCTGTCCTCTCGATTTCCGCATAGCATCTCCTGGCTCTGATTATATTCTTTGTCAGCTGCAGTTGCTGCCTTCATCCTTGGGTGTCAAGGACTGCTGGTTCTGGTACGTCTGGGTCTCCCTCGTAACTCTGTCACCTTTGCTGTGCGTTCTCCTTTGCTTCTGATTTAGGCTGTATCTCTGCCATGTTGTGAGCTTGGCCTTGATGTCCTTTTCTTCTTTTCCCACTTCTTTATGAATTTTACCATTGAAGTTTCCCTCTTCAGCCAAAACCACTGAGTGGCTTCAAGTGATCTACCACAAGCATAATATTTTGGTTTCATGTTTTGTTTTTAAAAATGTATGCAAATCTTGCAATTTATAGTACAACTTATCCATTTGTTTAAATATAAATGCTTTCAAGTATTTTCAGTTAAAACATTAATCTCCTTCTCTCTCCAATCATCAAGAAAAATTTAATTTGCAAGAAAGTAAGCCATGTTTATCCTGTGACTTTGCACATCTCTTGGCACATGCCTTCGAACCTCCAAGGAGACAAAGTATTCCAGTTTGGGAAATGCATACTTTCTTAGCCAAAAAAATTAAGCTCTTCTTCTTAAATATGTGATATGGAATGTTGTTTTCAAAGGGCAGATTTTTCTAAAAGCCTAAAACTCCTATCACAGTAAAGGTTACTTATTTCTCATAGATCCAGTCCAACCAACACTTGTAGTTTCTACCTATGTCTTGTTTGACCTATGTATGTATATATTGATTCTCCCCTGACCTTGACTTCAGGCACTAAGGACTTAAGATTTCTATCCTAGACCTAAGAGCAATGTGCTATTTAGTGTTCCTTTGACTTTCATATGTTCTATCATTTGAAGGTACCTTTTATTCATTTGTCTTGTAAATTTATTTGTATTGTTACATTTTCTGGTCTAGAAATTACGGTATATTCATTTTTAACTCTGTGGTTTAACCTCTGTGTATACCATTATTGAAATCAATTTTAAAAAGTCATAAGCATGCTGTGGAGACCCATCACTAAATATTTTATGAATGATTTACAGTGGGGCTAAATAATTACTTTTTGTGGCCAAAAGTCTTTCAGCTGATAAGTTAGAGAAATAAATTATTTTTTCTTTCTTAAATATATTATAATTATACTTTATGTAAATTTTTTAATGTAAAAGCATTTTGATAGCCTAGTTAAAGATGCTGGGCGATTTTGCCTTTACCCACTTTTCTCTAAATTTGCCTCCTTAAATATTAGGAAAGTATGAGGTCAAATATGATCATCGCCAGTGGTTGTATAGGGCATGCAGAAAGGAGGTCGTCTTGCCACTCGTGCTTTGAGAACAAGGCACACAGTGAAGCTGTCTCAATAAATGTATCAAGGGCTTAATGAGTAACAAAGAATAGAGTGATGATTTATTCATTTACTTCACATGTATTCTCTAAGCTCTTCTACTTACCAAACACTGAGTACCACTCCATGGTAGTGGAAGATGAAATGGATAGAGTCCCTGCTCTCGTGAATCCAATGGTATTACCCCATATTCCCATATTTATTAAACACTTTTTACATGCCACATATTTCACCTATAGTAATACCTATAGTATTTCACCTGTAGTAACTCCTAGTCTAATAACAATATGAAGCTTACAATATATGCTAAGAAGGAAGAATATAGGAGGCTATAAAAAGCTAATTGGGAATAGAAAGGGACATAGGTTCAGAGAAGGCCACCCAGAATCAGAGAAGAGGGAATGAAAGAAAAACAGGGCCAGTTCCAAGAACTTAGAGCACTCAGCTTTTACCTAGATACAGACAATTTCCACAAATCTTCATTCAGTCACCATTCTCTATGCTCTTAACTCTCTCCACGATGCACTATTTGCCTGAATTAAACTACACACCTGTGTGACTGTCTACAACTTGACAAGGTCCTCTGCTTTCTTTCATTTAGCTTTGGAGTCTGTGCCTTTTAGTTGTTTTCTTGAGAAGAGATAGGGAGGTGTATTTTTATTCATTGCATCTTGCTAGGAGCAAATGTCTATTGGAACTGAGCCTGGGATCCAGATATGACTCTGAAGGGCCTCATCTTTCCAACAGGTAAAGGTGGGTCTTCCAAAGAGGTCACATAATTTCTTAGGGAAACAATCTTGAGCTTTTTACTATTGGAGTTATCACTACTGTGATTTTAGATTTTCCTGGATAGGGATAGGGGTTCCAGTCCTCAGAACTCTAATAAACCTCTCATCTTATTGATTCTTGATGCCATACCTCTCCACAACCTGATCTCTCTTTATTTCATTTCCTAGCAAATCTCGTCTTAGTCCAACTTTTTTTTTTTTTTTTTTTTTTTTTTCCATGGATCAAACTCAGGACCTTGCGCCTGCAAGGCAGGCGGTGGCACCGCTGAGCTAAATCCCCGTCCCTAGTTCAACATTTTTGAGACTCCATCTCTGTCTCTCCTGATTCTCCCAATCTGAATTATACAGATTCATGTCTGACTGTTTTTTTGAATTTCTTTCCTTATGTGACCCAATAGTATTCTCTCCTGTCTGGAAGGAATCTTTTTTTTCACACATACCTATTTGTAAGAACTATACATATTCAAATAAAGTCTATTTTTTTTAATTAACTCAACCCATTAGACTTTATTCTGAGTATCTAGGAAGTTTTGTATGTTGTTTACATGATATCTTTTGTACTCAATAATATGCTTTTATATGGATGCCTGTTTATTTTCTCTACCCAGATCACATGTTCTTGTTTAAGGGTAAAAACTGTACTTTCTCTTGGTAATTCTTTCATGAGTCCTGTATAGTGTGTGAATACTCAAAAAGATTTTTAAAATAACTAATATATGAACTCCTTATTCAGTTGTGTATAATTTTCTTTGATGACAACTTTGGCTTTAGTCTGTCATCTAAAAGTATATCCTTTATTTGATATTGACATGAAGAGTGTTAGCTTCTACATACTGTGCATTTCCATTCCCCTTAAAGTAGTGTCCAAA